AGAGGGGGGGGTCTAGGGGGGGGGTGCAGGGGGTGCGCCCCCCCCCTGCGAAGACCTGCGGTGTTCTAATACAACGGGTATTATGAAAAAAAAAAAAAAAAAACTATGTGGTTTATTGGTGTTGGAGTAGAGCAAGAGACGAGTGCACCCCCTCCTAAAAAAAATCCTGGATCCGTCCCTGGGGAAGTAATTCGACGCAATAAACGCGAAATTTGTGGCGAGATCAAAAAAACGCTTGCAGTAGCGGGGGAGATACCGGCTCTAGATCTTTATTCTTCGCACAGCGAAACGAAGTGAAGTTTCTTATACACAAACTGTATTAACTCTCGAGTCAATTTTTAACCGCTCCAAATCTCAGTGGAACTCGAACTCTCAAGCAAATCAACTTCAAACTAGAGCATCCCGAGGCTTTTAAACATCAGAAAAAATCACTGAAACACTTACATAGAATCAAAAATCTACTAGTGAAACTTTTTTTATAGGTTAAATAACCTACATTTCAAACTTCAGAGTCAATTAAACACCAAACACCAATAATATATCATTATATGACGGCCGTCTTTTGGTATGACTTGAATTTTTTTTCTTTTTTGATACAACCACAGTCAATCGATCGAGTATTCTGAGAGCACTCACCCCAGCTGCATAGCAGGAAAACAGCTTTGTCCCTGGCAGGTCGACTCTTGCTCCGAAAGATTTTGACCAGCATCAAATAGAGAACGACTCCCTCAAGGGCCATCCAAGCAAATGATACCAGGAATAGATAGTGCATTGTAATGGCAATAGCTTTACAGACAATCTTTGAAAATATTAAAAGAAATGTGATTAAGAATAATATCCAGACTGAAATAAGTCAATCGTCATAAAGGAATTCTCGTCCTAAGTTCAATCAGTCGAACACAAACGGTGTCTGCAGCAACAAGAAGTATATTCCAAGTGAACTCTGGAGCCGGGGTCGGACGTTTATTTATTTATCTGTCTTTTTTTGGGCCATTTAATCGACTGAATAGGATGACAGAAATGTAAAATATTCAAAATGTTTTCTCCGTATCTGTTGTGAGAATTTTCAGAACAGACCACAAAGTTACTTTTTCCCATTATTTTTGCCTAATGGGAAAATGGTAAACGAGAACACATCTTTGGGGCTCTCCATATAGAGCAACAGGACACTCAGACAGCACCCAGATCCCTTTGAATTCTAAAACTCTTCCTTAATCTTGAAGATGAGAATAAAAACATCAATAATTTTTTCCTTAACTTTTCTACGATTCATTTGTGTTTTTCCAAGCTCCAGGAAGCAATTCCGATAATTTTCAAAAGTCAAGAAATAAGTACTTGTTTATTATCTATCATCTTGCGATCAATACAGAACGCCTTTCCAACGGCTCTCTCACCTATGACTGCTTAAACGAGAGGACAGCAGTGACTACTACACAAGATAGTGTAGCAAAGACTGCAAGAGAAGTCTATATAGGAAGTTACCTTAATGTGTGTTGTCTTGCTAACACCAAACAAAAACAAAGTTTCCGCCAAAGCCAAAGATAGTGCTAGATTTGCGTGAACGAAATAACGCTGCCGTGTATTCCTAAACCTGAAAAATATAACATCATCTGGGCAATCGAATGAGTTCCTCGGATGATATCGTGAATTGGAAAGGGGAGCCTTTTAGCGCTGAATGATAGAACTCGATCGAATAGTAAGAAATAAATTTGGTCTCTTTATTATTGACTTACCTTAAAAAAGGTAAAGGTTAAAAAGGATAAACTCAGTGCCACGATGGAAATGCTGATGCCGATGTATGAGATGAGACTTAACGCAAAGGAGTGTTGCTTCTGGGAGGAAAGAAAGCAGAAAAACCTAAATATTTTTTTTTTCAGTTTTTATTATAGTAGAGTACAATATAAACGATACTGGTAAGAGGGGATGGGGGTGGGAGGTCGGCTGATCCCAAGCCCCACTCGGCAGTCCACTGAGTGAATTTGTCTCTTGTTAGTCCCGAGTGACCTTCTTGGGTCATACTTGGGTCATTCGTGTAAATGGAAAAATAATTTGCCTCCTGTCATTTTGAATATGTTATTAGTCCCATTAGAAATCATGTTTGCTAGCTTTCCAACGCTCGTTTATCCTTTTTCCAGCTAAAATTTCGGTCTAGCTACCTTTGCCTATTTTTTTGTGCTTTCGCTGAACTGAAACCTCCTTCTGACATTCGAGTCTTTTGAAAATTGCATATTCTCATTCACCTTCCAGTCGTAGTGACTAGTAATAGTGTAAAATTCTTTGAGCAATACTCACAACACTGTGAATTTTCCAGAATTTAATATAAAGACATTTTTTGTCAATTTTTCGTTTCTTGACTAGTATCTCGTGTCCCTAGGGCTTATTAAACTGCTCGATGCCAGCCACCATATAAGTATTTTTATTTAGTATGCAAAAATGACTACATAACTAAAAGGAAAACTGAACCACGGAGCAATGCTCTAGCCCAAGTATATAAGATAGATAATAGATTTTAGAAATAAAAAAGGAACCTGTTTCATTTATTCCAGGTTCTTGTATTAACGGTGTCTGTCAAGCTAATAAAATAATAGGTTCGTAAAACTTGAGCTTGGTTCTTAATTACTGTAGTACTGTATCACATACTTAAGGTTTTCTTTCTCTTTTTGTATCTTTTTGTATCTAAGTATCTCAAACGGTCTTGTCAATGTTGCTATTGTTTGTTTCGGTTTATTTTTCATCCCTCCCCACAGGGGAAACTTCTGAGTGGGAGGCCAAGCTCGAAATTTTAGCATCGGCTAACATTAACATAGCCTGCGAACAGCAGACGCATTTCCGGTCGTCGCTTCACTCCCTTCTTCCTTCGGAGGGGGAGAAGCGACGACCGGAAATGCGTCTGCTGTTCGCAGGCTAACATTGACATAGCCTCCCACGCAGGCGATTTTAGGGGAGTTCGTATTTCGTCCCTCCCCATGGACAGAACCTTGTTTGAACTTCGCTTTTACCATTGAAAGGTAGCGACATGGCCCGAGACTCAAATTACTCACACTCGGGATGGGAGACAGTCTCTTGCTCCCGTTGTTTTCTTTCTCGGGTATTGATGTCAACGGGAGCAAGAGACTGTATCCCACCCCGAGTGTGAGTAATTTGAGTCTCGGGCCGTGTCG